AGAAGAATGCTCAGGGAATTCCCTGGTGGCCTAGTGGTTAGGATTCTGGGCTTTCACCGCTGTGGCCCAGGTTCAATCCCTGGTCAGGGAACTGAGGTCCTGCAAGCTGTGCAGCCAAAAAAAAAAAAAGCTCAGTTGAGAAAATAACTATTTTTGTTCTACTGTAATTGTTATAGTTTCTTCTCAGTTTTGTTGACTGCTCTTTACAAGCTGATAAAACTAAGTTATTAGAATCATTAAAGCTGAAAAGCTTGTAGGTTTTTTGGTTTTTTTTAAATTTATTTTTAAAAATAAATGAAAATTTATTTTATTATTTTTGACTGCGTTGGGTCTGCGTTGCTGCACGCAGGCTTTCTCTAGTTGCGGTGAGCAGGGGCTACTCTTCGTTGCAGTGCACAGGCTTCTCATTGCAGTGGCTTCTCGTTGTGGAGCATGGCCTCTAAGTGTGCGGGCTTCAGTAGTTGTGGCACGTGGGCTCAGTAGTTGTGGCACATGGTCTCAGTAGTTGTGGCTCGCGGGCTCTAGAGCGCAGGCTCAGTAGTTGTGGCTCACGGGCTCTAGAGTGCAGGCTCAGTAGTTGTGGCGCATGGGCTAGTTGCTCTGTAGCACGTGGGATCTTCCCCGACCAGGGCTCAAACCTGTGTCCCCTGCATTGGCAGGTGGATTCTTAACCACTGCGCCACCAGAGAAGCCTTTGTAGTTTTATTTGCAACACAAATAAAAACCACTCAAAGTTTAATTTTATTAGTATGTAATCATTTATGAACTAAACTGTATTTTTCATTCAGTATTTCAAGTCTGACCATTTTATGAATCAAGTTATGTATCATATACATTTACCTATATTTCAGAACTAACATACTAGCCTTAGAACACTAAAGGGCACTGGAAAATTATAGTTATGTATTCCTCACTCCACCTCCTCCCCTGCCCAAATTTCATTGAATATACTTATACTGTATTTTCAGTTGAGATATAATTCACATAAAATTCACCATTTAAAAGTGCACAATTGGGCTTCCCGGGTGGCACAGTGGTTAAGAATCCACCTGCCAATGCAGGGGACATGGGTTCAAGCCCTGGTCCAGGAAGATCCCACATGACGCAGAACAACTAAGCCCGTGTGCCACAACTACTGAAGCCCGAGCACCTAGAGCCGGTGTTCCAGAACAAGAGAAGCCACCGCAATGAGAAGACCGCACACCGCAACGAAGAGTAGCCCCCGCTCACCGCAACTAGAGAAAAGCCCGCGCGCGGCAACAAAGACCCAACGCAGCCCCCCGCCCCCAAAAAAAGTGCACAATTTAGGGACTTGTAATGTATTCACTGTGTTGTGCAGCTATCATCACTATCTAATTCCAGAACATTTCTATCATCCCCCAAAGAAACCTTTACCTGTTAGTAATCATCCCAATTCCACTTCCCCCTATGGATTTACCTATTCCGGACATTTCATATAAATACAATCATACGATATTCCTTTTGTATCTGGCTTTTTTCACGTAGTGTGTTTTCAAGGTTCAGCCATGCTGTAGCATGTAATGGTCCTTTGTTCCTTTTTAAGATTGAGCTGAATAACATTATACTATATAGCTAGACCACATTTTGTTTGTTTATCCATTCATCCATTGATCGACATTTCCAGATTTCATTTTTTATTTAAATCACTGTTTTTGTTTTATGATTTGGGGAAAATCAGTTCTTCCTGCTCCCACCCCCACCATGTCCTGTGGCTTAAACATGTCCAGGGTTTTTTTTATAGCAGTCCCTAAACCAGTACTATCCAAACTTCTTGTAAGTGACCTTGATTGCAAAATTTCTGTAGACCATGTATCACCTCCCTGTTCCCAACATAAAAACCCCACCAGAGCTAATAGGAAGAAGGTTATTACTGTTGGTGATATCAACAATCCATGGCATCCTATATACTTTTTTTAAAAATATCATAAATGGATAATTAATGCCCAGAACAAAATATGAACAATGCTTTATTATAAGTAGAAGCACTCTAAGAGGCCAAGCCTCAGACCATGAGTAGCTGTCTTACCGGGCTCCTGGTATTTAAGACTATGCTAGCTTCACCAGGTGGTGTTTCCTGCCTGCCTTTGCTGGTTCCTCAAATGGCAATGGAGGGAGGAGAGCAGGCAGGCATGGGCCATATTCTAAAGGAGTTACCATCTCCCCGCTGGCACTCCTCGCTTCTCTCCACAGAGGGCTGCTCCCCTCCCTCCTTCAGGCACCCTCAGGCTCTCCTGTAAGAACTGCTCTCGGGAAAAGATCTGATATGTCAACTGCCTCCTTCCTACTTGTGGAGAAACACTTTATATCTGTTTTAAAATCTTGACCCTTTTGGGGGGAAATACTTGTTTTTAAATTAATGATCTCACATTTAGTACCCCAAGCCCCTTTAAAAAAAAATAGTGTTTTCAGAAATCAGGCTGGAATTTCAAGCCTTAGTGGGTAAACTTGAAGGAGTCACAAAATAATATAGCATTTTGATCTAGTAGTGTCAGTCTGGAGCAATTAAATTTTCTGTGGGCTTTTAAGACTGGCCAGAAGTATCTCACTATAATCTCTCTCTTTCTTTCTCTTGAAAAAGTAAAAAGGTAATTCAGAGAAGTAATTAGGAGTAACATGTTGAGATGTTAGAAGGGAGTTCCTAACATTAAAAGCTGAAAAGACTCTCCCACCACTTCTTTTTTTTTTTTTTTTAATTAGATATCTTCCCGGACCGGGGCATGAACCCGTGTCCCCTGCATCGGCAGGCGGACTCCCAACCACTGCGCCACCAGGGAAGCCCCTCCCACCACTTCTTAACTTCACCTGATCCCTCCAATCAACTTGACATTGATGCCCAAAGAGAACCTTTGAGTTAAGAACAGATTTTACAGTATTCACTTTAGCAAGAAGAAAAACAAAACTTGATTACGGGCTAGACTGATAAACATAATCAGCTACGGATATCGGCATTTAAAAAATATCTTCTTCAATTTGTAAGACAGTTTAAAAAACTTACAGGAATGTTCGAATATTCAAAAAACATATGAACTTTCATGGACCACACTTTGGGAAACAGCTCCATCTTGTATTCCCAGACCTATAAAGTGATAGAGAAGTTTATCTTGGTAATTTAAGTCACAGAGTTCTCCCACCTAGCAAATTAGGCTAGGCTTGTCACCTAATTAATGACCTTTAAACATCAGAGACAAAAGGGAAGTGTCAAAGTTTTGTGGGAGCAGCATTTTCCATTCTTCTGTGAATTTAGAAATGTTGGTGAGCTGATTGCTGAGTGTGCCTTGGGTTCTATGCCCCCTCAGTTCCAGCCCCTTAAGCCCACTTGAACTTGCTCCTCAGACTCTGGTATCAGCTGTTTCTCTAGAGACTGTGGTTTTCGGACTGGAAGTTATTACTGCCTGATGGGAATCAAGTTCACTTAAGTACCATGTTGTTTAAGTGCTTCTCGGGATCTTTAACCTCAGAGTTCATCCATGGTTCTCTGTGCATTAGACACAGTGTGCTTTGTGCTTTTTGAAAAAGCTATGGCTTCCTAGGAAGTATAAGGAAACCGTTCCCTTGAGGAGAGAGGGGGTTATGGGGCTGATCGTGACCCAAGCACAGTCCCGGTGCTCTCCCCGGGGGCAGACACCATGTCTTACTCATCCTTGAGTGCCCAGAGCATTCTGCACAGGGCCTGGCACCTATTCACAGAGCCAGTGAAAGAGGATGCCAGCTCGAAAGAAGAGGGTGAATGGGGAGAGTTGCTGCTCACGCGGAGCAAGGCTGCATCTCTGTGGGCTTGGTCTGTGTGGAGGCAGAGTGCAGACGTGCGGAGAGCAGCGGGGAGTGGCTGCTACCCTTGAGTCCCACGGGGCCTCTGCCAGATGCAGGACAGAAGAGCAGTGTCTGTCAGCCCAGCCGCATAGAAGGCTCCAGAAGCTTTGCTGAGCTTAGGAGAGGGGCAGTGAGTTCCTTCCTGTCCCTGAAAGGCCTCTCAGGGCTCTTTTCCCTAACGGAGGGGAGAGACCTGGGGCCTGGCTTCTTTGAAAAACTGGGCTTGCTTTCAACACTGACATACCCCAAAATGCACGGTGCCGCTCACTGGAAAGGGGGACAGCCGGGTTCCGTGGGCAGGCCCAAGCTCCGTCCTTCTCCCACAGTTTCTCTAGAGGTTTTTTCAGCTCGCCGTTTCCTAACCTTCCTCTTCTTTAATTTGTTGCCCATGTTCACTCTTCTCTTTTTCTTTCTCCCTCTAGCCTCCCTCTCCTTGTCCCCAAGAGGTACATGCATGTCTTAAAGCCTAGCCCTTTGATTTCTTGGGGGGAGGGGTTGCCTAGGCCAAGAAACGATCATTAAAATACCTGCACATCCTAGTAGTTAGAAAACTACTAGTCAGGTAAACCTTCCTGAGCGAGGGGATAGGAATCCTGGAAGCTTGAGGAGGAGGTGGGAGAGGGATTCCTGGGAGGTTCAGTGGAAAAGACGTGAATCTATGTACAGGGCTCCAAAGACAGTGTGGGTTTACACCCAGCATGGGGGCAGCAGAAGAGTCGAGTAGCTCTGGGTAGGTATTTCCACTTTAGCAGGTGGTTTATTTCTTGTTTCAAGTAAAGTAATAGTTCTTCTCTTCTTTAGGGGCTGTTAGCTCATCACATGTTCTTACAGAGCCTTGAAAAAGTGTCAAGTTGTGCTGGTATTTATGTTTTAGTTTCTAAGGTTATACGTTTTCTTAAAAATTTTGGTTACATTATCTAAAAGACACACACACACACACACACACACACACACACACACACACGAGAAGTGCTGGCATGGGGTCTGAATCTGGGTGGACCTCAGGATTCTGTGCCTTTGACCCAACCCCTTCCTGGGTCAAGGATTCTGTATGGTGCATCTCTGTCACCCTCTACTCCTGGGTGGAATCCACCAGAGATAAATAGTTTGGGGTGTGGGCCCTAGAGTTGCTGCCATGGCTCACTGAGTGTGCATCCCTGTTCCCCCAGGCGACTTGGAGCTCCTCTTGGTGCTGACATGATGACAGTGTGCAGGCCAGCCAAGGGCAGCCACAGCCAGACTGAAAACCTGGGCCACAAATTGGCTGACAAGTAAGAACTTTTCTCCCCCAGGAACGCAGAAGTTGGCTCGGATTCTCAGTCTCCTTCCTTTTTCTACTGCCTTTCCCTCCTCACTAACCCTGCCTCCCTGAACTAAGGAGGCATTCTTTTCCAAGTCTTGGTGGTGAGCCTCCTGTAAATCATCTCCATGCAGTGCGTTCAGTCAGCAACCCAAGACCAGAGTGGTCAAGGAAAGGTCTTCCTGGTGCCCAGTGTTCCACTTCAGGCCCTATCCCCATGTATGCCTTCCAGTCCAGGGTTTACTTTTCTAACTACTGGGATGTGCAGGTATTTTAATTATCGTTGAGCCCTAAAGCTTTGCAGCTGCATCTGTCCACATAGCCTGCTTTATATTAGCAGGGTTGTTTTCTCCCCACATGGAGCCCTTTCCTCTGATACCCTGTCTCACATTCTGCAATGGAATTAGCAATTGCTGAGCTGTTCACAGATCACTGAGCTGTTCGCAACTATGCATCCCAGTCCAGAGCCCCTTCTGGGGCCACAGAATCCTGGAAACAGGAACTCGAGAACTTCTTGGGTACAGCAACCATGTGGAGAAGGCACTCTGCCCCTGGTTTCATCATCCTTGCCGCTCTTGCTTGAGCTTTGTAATTCCAGCGTGGTTTTCTAGCAAGCTAGCCTTTCTCCTCTTCAGCTTTTAGATGGGGCCTCAGTGATTGTGAAGCTGCTCCAGATGCCTGGGATCTTAGACAATAACTACAATCATTATAATAACACTAGTTACCATTTATTGCCATCAAGAATTATAATGTGTGCTGTGCTCTGGGCACATTACATATATTAACGCAACCATTCATTTATTGACTACCTACTATGTACTGGTCACAGCAAACAAGATAAATTTGGCCTCTGCACCAATAAAATCCAGTGTTCTCATTTTAAAGTGAAAAAAAATGAAGCGAAGGTCCACACCCAGGTCCCTCTAACTCTAAAGCCATATATTTATCTACTGTCAATATTTTTTAACAGTACATAGGATATTTATGATTATATATTACAGCATCAATTCTCACTAAGTGTGAACTAACCTGAATTGTGTTTTTATGTGTCCTGTTTCTTCATCTTGCCTCTAGCACAATGAGAGCAAGGACTTAAATTTCTGTCTTTTGAACTCTCAGTAAAATAACAGGCTGATTCTGACTAAAATTTGAATTCATGCTAATATCCTCAGTGGTGACAGGACCATTACAAAAGGGTTTCTTTTTTGTAAGCGCTCTGTTATGAATGCTAATTGATTATTTAAATAAGGAATTCTGCTTTGATAGCCGTATTTAACATATGAAAATTTGTTTGCAATTTCACAAGCTTCTGGTTTATGCTGAGCAACCAAGAACAACGACATAATTTACATGTTAATGTCCCAATCCTGGGAGAGGTCTTTACATAAACAACCCTTAGTCTCTGGAATAGAAAGCTAGCTAGTAACAGTATGCATGAAATTGCTAATTATTCATCCTTCATGTGAACCTTAACTGGAGTTTCCATATAGTCAGATCTATATATTCAGAAAACATGCACCATGAAGTCGGTCCATGCATGTTTGCTAATCTTGGCACATTTAAGGTCCCTGTGCTCCGTCATGACCTTTGCTGGTGGACGAATGCTTTGCATTTCAAAACACAGATACTCCCATTCTCATTAGAATAGCTTCAAATGTTCTGTTTTTCTTTCAAAATAATTTTTAACATCTTTGTGGCACTAACTCATCTCCTAAAGTCACGTATGGAGGCCTATATCCCCACACGTATGTGCTAGGCCAGAACTTTCTGCAATGATGGAAATGTTATTCTGCATCCAATACAGTGACCGTTAGCCACACATGGCTACTGAGTACTTGACATATGGCTGCTGCAACTGAGGAAGAGGAGCTTTAATTTAATTTGATTTTAGTTCAAATAGTCACATGTAGCTAGTGGCTACTATATCGGACAGTGCAGTTCCCAGGCTATGCGAGAAATCTGAATCTGCTTGTTTACTCACTTATTCACTCAACAAATATTTATTGACCACCTACTCTGCCGGATGTTGTTCTGGGTGCTAGGGATGTAGCAGTAGCCAAAACAGGCCACAGTTCAAAACAAAACAAAACAATCCCTGTCCTCACGGAGAGACCAGTCTAGTAGGGCTCATATTCTAGAGGAGGTTCCATTCAAATGCAGCCAACATTCTAGAGGAGGTTCCATTCAAATGCAGCCAATCATTGTGGCTTTACCCACTCAGATCAGGACAATTTATCAAACCCAGTATTAGGAAAAACTTCATGACTTGTGGCATTGTTTTAGTCATTCCAAAAGATCATCTGTTGGTATAATCTTCTATCTCATGAAACTTCTCCTATTTTCATCAGGGGAAAAAGCAAATATGGGACTTCTCTAGTGGTCCAGTGGTTAAGGCTCCACGCTCCCAATGCAGGGTCCCAGGTTCGATCCCTGGTCCGGGAACTAGATCCCACATGCCGCAACTAAGAGCCCACATGCTGCAGTGAAGATCCCGCACGTGGCAACTAAGACCCAGTGCAGCCAAATAAATAAATACATACATAACTAAATAAATAAAATACTAAAAATAGCTAATGACAACTACCATTTACTGTACACTCACACCATACTAGATGCTTTATATGAGCTAGCTTATTAAATGTTTACAGCCACCCTGTTAGATATGTTTATTATTCCCATTTCACATATGAGGAAACTGAGGTTTAGAGAAGTTAAGCAACTTACCCAAGGTCAGACAGCTGGTCCGTGGTTGAATTAGGATTTAAACCCAAGTCTGTTGGACTCCACAATCCAATAGCTCCTTTCATTTCACTGTGCTGTCTCCCCAAGAAAAACATAAAGTGATTTTTTTAATGGTGGTTTCAATGTGTGTGGCTTGCAACTAGTATGTAACATTTATATCTAAGTTCTAGCAAATCTGAATGACTAGTTAAGAACAATAACCAAGAATTCCTGCACTCAGTGTTTGTCTTTCTTGTTCAGGGTCAAGGTGGAAGGTCCAAAGGCTGGGGAAGACCCTCAAAGGCAGCCGTTTAGGTCCTCCATTCCTTTCCTAGAGACTGATCAGGACTCACCCTTCCGAAGAAGCCCACTGGAGAGCCTCTGTAACCTGATGCTAGAGCCAAGAGTGGACTGTTTTCAGCAGAACATGTTCAGCTCAAATATGATCATCAGCGACCCAGCTTCAGATCTCGGCACTAAAGGAGCCAGCAGGGCCGGCAAGAGGCAGCTAAGCAGTGTTCAGAACCCCTGCCCTCCCGCCCGAGGCGGGGCCTGGCACAAGTCCCTCAGCATAAAGGACAAGATATCAGAATGGGAAGGGAAAAAGGAGTTGCCCACTCCTGCCCCTGGCAGGAAAGCAGATGGGCAAGAGGATTACCTGACGTCATGTGTGATGGAGGGGAGAAGCAGCGATGGTTCGAGGACTCGGGTCACAGAGGCTCAGAACGGAACAAGGCTGGACGCAGAGAGTAGAGACGATGAGAGGAATAAAGGGGTAGTGAAAGTTGGGGCACAGGATGCAGAGCAGAGGCAAGACCTGAGCCAGCCAGCCCAGGAGCTGGCTCCTAGCTTGGGAAGAGGCCGGGAGCCCAGGCTTGGCAAACAGCGCTTTCAGAATGATAGCCTGTCTGTGCTGAAGCAGGTGGAGAAACTTGAGCAGGCTCTGAAGGATGGGTCTGCAGGGTTGGATCCCCAGCTACCTGGCACCTGTTATTCCCCACACTGCCTGCCGGACAAGGCCGAGGAGGGGCCCACCCTTCCTGAGAACCGTGGGGGCGGGAGTGTCTCAGAATTCAGGGCCCACCGCTTGGACCTGGAAGGCACGGAGCCCGCCCCTGAGGCCACAGAGGAAAGGAAGGGCTTGTGCGGGAGGACCTGTGACCAGAGGCTGGAGAGTGTGTACAGGGCCTCAGAGGACTCCCCCGCAAGACCCTTCATCAGCCCCCCGCCCAAACCCCGGAGAACTTTCAAACATGATGGCGAAGGGGACAAGGATGGGAACCCAGGCATCAGCTTCCGGAAAGATAAAAGGAACCTGCCTCCTCTGCCCTCTCTACCGGCCCCGCCCCTGCCCTCCTCTCCCCCGCCTTCCTCTGTGAACAGGAGACTGTGGAGCGGGAGACCGAAGGCCAGTGCTGACCACAGGTAGGTGACAGGTGGCTGTCAGCTGGAGCCCTGTAGGCCACACTGCAACTGTCTGTTCTCAGCCTAATTATTTATTTTATTAAACTGTTGGACCTTGTAGTTAGTTGAGACTGTTCATAGCTCAAGATGGTTCACTGATTAAACCTGAAAACGTGGTAACTGTTACAGGTGTTTTGTGTTAGTTCCTTGTCTTCAAAAAAGAGTATTGGCCTTGAAAAATCACCCTTTGGATGTGATGAGTGCTTGTAATTCAGACAGTAACCAAGAGTTAAATGAAAACTTGTATTGACACTGGCCATCTAGTAATTGGTGCTAATTGATGTTCATTCTGCTACTACCATCCCCACCTGGTGCGTGGTGCTGGGAGTCTTTCCCGGCTCTTCCTTTCATGTTTTTTCTTGGTTTGGGCTCTAGAAACACACTGCCTGGCCTACCCTGGCCCTATCATGGTCTATCTAAGTGACTTTGAACAAGTTACTTAACCTCTCGAGGCCTCAGTTTTCTCATTTATGCATATAGATGCACACACGGTAAATATTTTATAATATTAAAATAACACCTTAGATAATAAAACGTGTGAATGCTTGAAGGTAAAATCTGTGCTTTGGAAACGATTTCTTTTCTGTTTTGAAACCTAATTTCTTGTCTATTTCTGTAATGTGCTAATTGGTTTGATACCTGCTAATCTGGAAACCAGCTACTGAGAAAAACTCCTCAGAACAGTTGCCTGTACCTGCTGTCACCACTTCTTCCCCTCCTGTGTTTATCTTGACTCACTGCAGTTGGGCTTTTGCCACTTATGCTGGAACTGCTCTAGGCCGAGTCACCTGCCACCTCCATCTTGCTAAATACAGTTGCCAGTTCTCTGTTCTTTTCTTGATTGACCTCTCTTAGCATTTGAGAACCAACTTGACTCGCACCACCTTGAAATACTATGTTCACTAGGCTTCTAGGCCACCAGCTTTCCTGATAGCCCTACTTCACTGGCTGCTCCTCCTCAGCTCCATTTTCCTCTCCCTCTACATGTCGGAATAACACCCCCCAACCCATCTACACGCCATCCCGGGATCATGTCACTTCTCCTCCATTTACACTCACTCCCTTAAATGATCTCACCCAGTCCCATGGTTTTAAGTGTCAGTTACATGCTTATGATTCCCAGATATATATCTCCAGCCCTCACTCTCCCCAAGCCTCAGGTTTGTATAGTCCTCTCATGCTTGGGTCTCCATTTGGCTATCTAATAGCTTGGACTTAACACGTCTAAACCTAAATTCTCAATCCAGGCCATTACTAACGGTCTCCTCCCAAAATAGATGCTATCTTATTAGTGGTATCACCCTTTATTTTGCTTACACCAAAAACCTAAGAGTCATTTGTGATTTCTCTCTTTTTCACATAGCCCCAATCTAATTCATCAGCAAGTCCTTCGGTTCTAGTTTTAAACATTTTCTTAAAGCTGACTACATCTCCTCCACTGCCACCACCTTAGTCATTTTGTATCCACCCCCAGTGTTCTTCTCCTCAGCAGCCAGAGGAGTCTTCTAGAAATACAGATTTGATCATGTCAGTCCCCTACTCAACATGGTCTGTCAGGTAGGATTCTTTGGGTGCCAGAAATGTAATGTCTTATGTTCTCTTACAGGGGAAAAAAAGTTTGGGTATTCTAGAATTTCTAGAAACACACACACATATAATATTCTTTAAAAAATGAAATCATGCTCTATATCGACTGTTTTTTACTTAGGATCTCATTGAGATATTTCAGTGGTTCCACTTTCCTTTTTTTTTTCACCTTCCTTTTTTAACTGCCATCTTTACAGCACCTGGCTAAACCATATTTTATTTAGCCATTCCCCTAGTGATTTACACCTAGGTTGTTTCCAGTTTACAAATAATGCTGTGATGAACACAGCGTTGTTGTGTGACATCGGACAAGCTCCTAAATTTGTCTGAGCCTCATTTTACTGATTTGTAAAATGGAGATGTATAATTATCTCCATGTGACCACTTCATAGCTTTGTTGTGAAGATTGGATGAGTAAATATTTGTAAACATAAGTTAAAACAGAGCCTGGAATATAGTAAATGATCAATAAATGATAGCTGTTATTTTTTTCTTGCTCTGTTCTGTTAATCAGGGTACCTATTTCTTTTTTTTTTTTTTTTTTAGGATGTTGGGGGTAGGAGTTTAGTAATTTATTTATTTATTTTTGCTGTGTTGGGTCTTCGTTTCTGTGTGAGGGCTTTCTCTAGTTGTGGCAAGTGGAAACCACTCTTCATTGTGGTGTGTGGGCCTCTGACTATCGCGGCCTCTCTTGTTGCGGAGCACAGGCTCCAGACGCGCAGGCTCAGTAGTTGTGGCTCACAGGCCTAGTTGCTCCGCGGCATATGGGATCCTCCCAGACCAGGGCTCGAACCCGTGTCCCCTGCATTAACAGGCAGATTCTCAACCACTGCGCCACCAGGGAAGCCCAGGGTACCTATTTCTTTTCTAGGACCAAACTGTTTTAATTATTTTAACCTCATAATCTGTTTTATTTATTTATTTTAATTAATTAATTATTTTAATTAATTTTTTAATTTTTGGCTGCATTGGGTCTTCATTGCTGCATGCAGGCTTTCTCTAGTTGCAGTGAGCAGGGGCTACTCTTCGTTGCAGTGCGCGGGCTTCTCATTGCAGTGGCTTCTCGTTGCAGAGCACGGGCTTTAGGCGCACGGGCTTCAGTAGCTGTGGTGTGTGGGCTCTAGAGCGCAGGCTCAGTAGTTGTGGCACATGGGCTTAGTTGCTCTGCGGCATGGGAGATCTTCCCAGACTAGGGATCGAACCCGTGTCCCCTGCATTGGCAGGTGGCTTCTTAACCACTGCGCCACCAGGGAAGTCCCTGTTTGGGTATAGAATTCTTAATTGACAATATTTTTCTTTCAGCCTTTCGAATATGTGATCCCAATACCTTCTGGCCTCCATAGTTTCTATTAGAAATCATATAATCTTATTGAAGATCCCTTGTATGTGAGGAGTTAGGGCCTTCAGTAGTTGTGGCACGTGGACTCAGTAGTTGTGGCTTGTGGGCTCTAGAGCGCGGGCTCAGTAGTTGTGGCACACGGGCTTAGTTGCTCCGTGGCATGTGGGGTCTTCCCGGACCAGGGCTCGAACCGTGTCCCTGCATTGGCAGGCAGATTCTTAACCACTGTGCCACCAGGAAGTCCCCTCATAATCTGTTTTAATATCTAGTAGAGCTTACAGAAATTTCTTATTGTTGCTAATAATTAGTGGATTCTTTTGGACATTCTACATATAGTATCATGTGATACACACACAAATGATCATTTGGTCTCCTTTTTAATAATTATAAACCTCTTATTTATTTCCTAATTATTCTCCTTATTCAAAAAATGTCTTGAATATTCTGATGTCTTTTCCTAAATGGTCTATATTATCACTATCAAATTTCACACACACACGAAATATGTCAGCTTTTAATTGGGATTCTATACGTTTGCTAAGTTTATTCCTAAGTATTTTATTCTTTTGTTGCCATTGTTAATGTAATCTTTTTTCTCATTATATGGTCTGTGTATTTAAGAAAATATTTATTTTTGTATATTATTCATTTAAAAGACTCCTTAAAGAAATTTCTTATTTCTAATCGTTTGTCAATTGTTTCTCTTGGACTTTCTGCGTATATAATCATATTGTCTGCAAAGAATTATCATTTTATGTTTTTCATTTTGATTTACATCTCCAAATTCTTTCTCTTACTAAAGTGCACTGACTAATATTTTCATAACAGTGTGAAATAATAGTGCTGATAGCACTGGGCAGCTTTATCTCACCCCTAACTTTAGTGGTAATGCTTCTGGTGTTACTCTCAAGCACTCTTGTTGGAGTTATGTTTTCATGCGATCAAGGTAGTGTTCATTGGTAATCCTTTTCTTACTAAGAGTTTAAAAAATTAGGATTGGGTTTTGTCAAATTACTTTTCAGAAACATTATATGATTGTGTGTTTCTTCTCCTTTGACCTATTAATAGTGAATTTATATCGTACTGTTTGGTGGATGAACTCCCACTTTGTCCTGGTTCATTATTCTTTTAATGCACAACTGAATTCTATTTGCTAATATTCTATTTAAGATTTTTTTAAGATTTATTATATTTTATTTATTTAATTTATTTTTGGCTGTATCGGGTCTTAGTTGTGGCACATGGGGTCTTTTGTTGTGGCGCACAGGCTTCTTTCTAGTTGTGGTGTGCAGATTTTCTCTCACTAGTTGTGGCGTGTGGGCTCCAGGGTGCGTGGGCTCTAGTTTGCAGCATGTGGGCTGTAGTTGAGGTGCACGAGCTCAGTAGTTGTGGCGTGCAGGCCTGGTTGCCCCGCGGCATGTGGGATCCCAGTTCCCTCACCAGGGATCAAACCTGCATCCCCTGCATTGGAAGGTGATTCTTTACCACTGGACCACCAGGGAAGCCCCCTATTTAAGATTTTTGTACCAGTATTCTATAAATGGGACTGGTCTATACTTGGATTTTATTATACTAACTTTACCAGGCTTTGGTATCAGCATTATGTGATATCTATAGAAGAATTTACAGGCTTCCTTCTTTATGCGCTGAGAAGGTTTGAATCCACCTCCAATTCTAAATCCTTTCCCAAACCAGTGCCAACCTCAGGGCCCTAAGTGCCGTCGTGACTTTTCTGCTCCTGTCCCCAGTGCTTACCCAGAGTAGCCCTTCCGTGCCCTTTCCGGGCTATTCCTCCAAAGAGGCCCACTCTCCCAGGGGCAGCTTTGTTCTGGGAAATTGGTATCTTTCAGCTGTGTCATCACTGGGCAGACAGATCAACCTGGTGAACAGTTATTCCCATTATCTCTTCTCTCTTAGCTACCATCTGCTCTTTTCAGTCTTCCAGCATTTTCTTTAAAACCAGCTAAAGTTACTTAGTTTCAGTCCAAAGATGTAATTTTTCTTGGCCAGTTTGAATATGGTTGCATCAACTGTG